AGAGAGAGAGAGAGAGAGAGAGAGAGAGAGAGAGAGAGTTAGGGAGAGAGGGATAGAGACAGAGAGGGAGAGAGAGTGAGAGAGATTAGGAGAGAGACAGAGGTAGAGAGAGACAGAGAGAGAGACAGATAGACAGACAGACTGCGAGAGAAAGACATGGAGATTTAGGAAGTGAAATACAAATGTATTTACAGACAGACAGACAGATGGAACGAATAGGGTAACGGATCAAGAGACAGCGAGAAAGATTGGAAAATGGAAGGAAATAGGGGAAGAGAAAATGATAGCTTTTCTAAAGACCGCCAGGGCCTTCGTACAGAAACACGACTGAATGCTGAATCGAAATAGTAATGATATGCTTGGCAGGCCGGTGTTTCCTCTCTTATATAACCCTTTGTGGCAAGTCTCCCAGCTGTGATACGCGTTGATCCCTTAAGTCCTGGGGGTCAGGTTGGTTTGACAGAAGTTTTTTTACGGCACTAGCAACATTTATTTCATATCATGTTAGCAAGGGCTGAAGATGAGAGTTCCATGAGGCTGATAACATACAAAGCAGGATGGGAAAGAAGGACGACAGTAAATAAATAGTGATAGAAAAAGCAAAGCCTATCAAAGTCCCCTCAAATTGAGTGCACAGTATTGGCAATACAAACCACAGGAGATATTAATATACACTAATGTGTACCCGTTTTCGGGGCATCAACATAATTTAATTTAGCCCATAACACGAAATCCTTCTCTATAACTATGCAATAAACAAGATAAGCTAGGTTTGGGAATGATTTAGGGTCAGCTGATTGGTACTGTTGCTGAAGTATTACCTCAAATGCGACTCAAAGCGTATACGTGGTTGAATATTATTAAACATTCTTATAAGTGGAATAAATGTCAGTAACCTTTATGATTATGTGACAGAATGGCTCATAATTTTTGTTTAGAGTTTTCTTATTACATGCAGCATTATTGTTAAATTTGAATAACAGTTCAAATAAAATGATTTGAGAGAAAAATGAGTTTGACATAATTTGCAGGAACTTGATAATATTATGGTTAGAGTTGGGCAACGCCCATTAGTAGCTACCTTGGAATTACAACGTTTTATCTGAGTTTTGAGTTTTGAGTTACGGAGACCACCAGGTAAAAAATCAAACGTTCTATTTAAGTTCTATCTTCTCTATCAAAATCGTAAAATTATTCAGAGTTGCTATCAATATATTCAAAGAATTGCAGTAAAAAACATCGACTTTTTGTGACGCTCTACATTTTAAAAATCAAATCTTTTAAAACTAAAATCTGAGCAGAGAGAACTTTGTAATTCCAAAGTAGCGCAGAAACACCCTTTCAGGAATTGTGTTTACCGAACCAGGATCCCAAAACAAGCTAATGGTTAGGCAACTGGACCCGTACTCGAAAGACTTTGGGTCCATGGGGTTCGAGCCTCAGCTCGGTTCGACGTTGTGTCCTTCGGAAAGACATTTAAAATGAATTTCCTATTTGTCTCGGTCCTTTTGGATATGAACGCTAAACTCCGAAGTCCCGCCTCTTAAACAACCTAACAGTATTGATAGATGCGTTAATCTTATTCCATTTCACCACTTTTGTTTCAGATCAAGCCTCATTTGCCTTTTTCATTTTCTTTGATTGTAGCGCTGAAATTGAGCTGGTTAGGTTATTTTTTACGATAGAGAGGTTTATCATATCAACCTCGTAACAGATAATTCGGGGTTTTTTTTCCCTTAATTTTTGCAATACTTAATAGGAATCAAAGTCACAACAGATTGTTTTCAAAATTGTGAGGAGAATCCTTTCTATTTTTAAAAACTAATATATCGTCCTTATATCATTTCTTCCTTCTTTTGTGTTCAAATTATTGTCTTGCAGCATCTTCATTCTTCGACACTCGTATTATGATATATTTGTACTGCAAGTAAGGGGGGGTGGACTCTTAAAAAAACAACCCAACAACAAACAAAACCCCCCCACAAAAAACAAACAGCAAAACATTGAGAAAAAAAAACAAGAACTCGAGAAGCCAGTAGTACATTATTTATTAAAACTTTTAATGTGGTATCATGTGTTGTTGTCTTTGAAATGTATCGTTTCTCGAGACTGGTTGCTTCAGATATCCTACTCCTCTTTGAAAAGCAGCCAACACAAGCCAACAACGAATTGGTTTCCAATATCTTTTAACTTCTGTCGGTGTTATTCCGGTTAACTCTACTGTGTGTATATATTTTAAGAGAAGTTTTCTGTGTTAAAAAATGAAAATAATTAGAAGAAGAAGTAGAATGGTATGTTTTCTCGTGTGTGTGTGGTGGGGGGGGGTAGGGCGTGTGTGTGTGTGTGTGTGTGTGTGTGTGTGTGTGTGTGTGTGTGTGTGTGTGTCTGTGTGTGTATGTGTTTGAATCTAGACGAGAAAGCAAGGATGGAGTGGTATGAAAAGGGCGAGTGCTGGTGATGCATGCATAATATCGGAACCAAACATTTCCGTTACTGTTGTTGTTGTTGTTGTCGTTGTTGTTGTTGTTGTTGTTGTTGTCGTCGTTGTTGCTGTTGTTGTTGTTGTTGCTGTTGTTGTTGTTGTTGTTGTTGTTGTTGTTGTTGTTGTTGCTGTTGTTGTTGTTGTTGTTGATGATTGTCGCTTTGTTGCTGTTGTGGTTGTTAACTTTTCTGTACCCAACCAGTCTATAAAAGACCTCGAATTGAGATTACTTTGCTCATGCAATTTCTGAAAGTGTTTGTTATTCCATGCATGTTTGGTTTCTGTACCACTCTCTAAGTCTACATGTAACAGCCTTGAACTAAATTCAATAGACTGCTTTATTGACGTATTATAAGCAAGAACGAAAGCCATGTTGTTATGAAGGAAAATACGTAAATGACTCACAGGATTAAAGAAAAATGTACACAGAAGGAGAGGCAGGGTGAACGAAAGAGTAAATCATAAAAAACAGAGGAGAGAGAGACAGGGGAGAGAGAGAGAGAGAGAGAGAGATACAGACAGACAGACAGACAGACACAGAGAGAAAGAGAGAGAGAGAGGGGGGGGGGAGAAAGTGAGAGAGAGAAAGAGGGGTTGGGGGATAGTAATAACAATGAGTATAAATAGAAAGAAATAGGGATATGATCAGATTGTAGAGCATGGGAGGATGGAGGCCGGGAAGGGTGCTCATGTCCCCAGTCAGATGAGAGAACAAAATATATTTTTTTTTAAACATAAAAAACAACATTGGAGATATATGGAGACGAAGGGAGATATAGAGAAACATAATTATACCACTGATATATGTGTCCAGGTAGTAGACCGAAGAATACATACATTAAGATGGCGGGTGGTGATAGTATAGTCAATATAATATGCCATTCCAGTTACATGCCTTCTTTCAACTGATAAATCTCCCTCTACGTAGCAGACTGTGTGATCGCCTCTACACATAGATTGTCCATGTAGCAGTCGGAGTGAGAGGTGAGGAAAAAGAAGCAGAAAGAAAGTGGGAAATAGAGCGTAAAAGAGACACAGGAAAAGAGACAGAATAAAGAGAGATAGAGAAAGAGACCGGGTTATCACACTCACACACACACACACACAATTTCACACACATAACCATACACAGATGCATTATACACACATACTTGCATACACAAACACTAACTCAGACGCACACAAACACAAATACACACACACACACACACACATAATATATATATATATATATATATATATATATATATATATATATATATATATATATATATATATATATATATATATGTATATACAGACTCACAAACACACAAGTGCGTCTGTGCGTCCGTTATTGTGTGTGTGCTATCGTAGGTATATAGACAAATAAATAGATTGATGGATAGACAGACAGACAGACAGGCAGACAGACACACAGATAGATAGATAGATAGATAAATAGATAGATAGATAGATAGATAGATAGATAGATAGATAGATAGATAGATAGATAGATAGATAGATAGATAGATAGATAGATAGATAGAGAGGTCAAACTAATATTTAAAAGACAGTATGATTG